GCTATGGCCAACAGCCAAACACTTGCGTATTTCAAATAACCAGGGCCATTGGGTCGGCTCCATCTTGATGGAGCAGGCTTGGGTTCAAAGTACTCTTAAACAAATGCAGGGCTTTCAATTCATCTTGATATCTCGAACTAAGGAGATCGAACTATCGCCAGAACAGCACTTGGACGTTTTTGACTGCGATCGTTTTGCGCCTAGGCCGTGGTGCTTCCTGAACGTCATGCTGGTCGACATCGTTGGAGGTCTTTCGCAGCGGCAAGGTATCGGCGTTGTCCATGAGGACGCCTGGAGTATTGCCATGCCAAAGTGGACCGTCGTTGTGCTAGAGTAGACTGTTTTGTAGAGTGGGAGAGATACGGTCATAGATGATTTAATTTGAAACTTTATAGCAATATCTTGTAACTGAGAATCTGTGGAGATTGGTGAACCCCAACACCTTGCTATTCTTTGGTAAAAATCGGTTATACCGCAAATTTATATCCATGATTGATCATCCGCTCTATTTTCCTCTAGATAATTGTATATTTGGTTGTAGTCCTTGCAGACATGCTTGGCATCCCAACCATCACTCCCGACGGTACCTTCAGGGAATGTCGTTTGTTGGCCCTCGAGGGCGACGTCTCCGCAGCACATGATGCTTTGTCGGAGATACTCGAAGCAGTGACCAAGATGCCAGGCCATGTCGTTCGGGACATTTCTCGAGTCGTTGATATCAGCAAACGTCTCGACAATAGCATGCTGTTATTTCGCGATTAGCAATCTTATATAGAACAAGGCCAAAGCGTGGGGACACTGTACCAAGCAGTGCAGTTGATGCGTCATCGATGTCGTGAACACAGTGCCCTCATAGCCCACCAGCGGAGTCGGAAGGTTATTGTAGTCTCCAGGCCTCTCCAATCTCAGGTAGCCAAGTCCCTCTGGCCAAGATAAATATATTAGCATCTATAAAGCTATGATCTTAACGGCGGAAAAGACCCACTTGGTACTAACGACAACCACTTCTCCCGAACCTCAAGAGTGAAGAAGTCGGACGCGTTCTCGGGGGCGTACATGGGATCGGGTACGAATGTCCTGATCTGTTGCGAAACTGACCAATGGTAGATCATCAGCAAGGGCTGTCTGTCAACCACAACCGTTGCAATACTCACATCGAGGTGCGAATCCCGTCAAGTCTCCATTTCCTTCGAATAGCCCTATCTTCTCTTGATGCCATCTCCTCTCCACGAGAAGTCCCACTATCACTAGGAGGAGAACTGTGTTGAGTATGCCCTGCGCTGAGAACAATACTGCACTCCATCGTTTTATCCGGCCAAGCTTGAGTTGGTTCTCCGATCTCTGCTTTCCTCCCTTCCAATTCCTTCCCTCTTCGCTTAATAGTGACATGCTGACCTCGGTAGCGGAGTCATCGTGAGCGTCTTCTCGATCTTCCGAGTTCAGATCGGTATACTGCTGTTCTTCTCGCTTCATAATGTTGATTGTCGCAAAGCTTGATCAATCATAAGAAGTGCATCGCCAAGAGAAGGACCAAATATGAATTATGTGCCGCCGTCAAGGCGGGATGTGTAGTCACTTTTAAGAGCCGAATCCTGGAACCAGAAGTGCTTGCGCGTCGGCAACAAGGGGAGTACAGTACAGTAGTAGTCAAAAGCTTGGACGGCCCGTCGCATTTTGCCTGGAAGCTGGCTCTTAATCTACGGTCTTAATCTATGGGCTTCGTCATGGAGGGTCGCAGGGTGCCATTGGTGGGAGCATGGGGGGGCCACAGTCGCGCGATCCTTCAGACGATTGGTGTTTGGAGATCTCCCTACCGATCACCCTGAAACAGGGGGCCAGGATGAGGCTTGCGCACGCAACGCCTCCCCCACTAACACAGCTTGCAATGGGCCCGGAGTGAGCTGAGTGGGAATGACGTCGCGTGGGCAACTATCGTCTTGATGTTTGATCACAAGGGATATTTGGTTATCGATATTAGAGTGGAATTCACTCTGTTACTGCATTCTGTCCCAGCGTGAGCGTAACGTAGCTATCGGCCGGGAAAGGTGTTAAGCTCTCACAAACGAGATGCGACGACTTGCTATCTAAGCGACTAAGACCGCTCTGTTGGATTTTTTTTGATTTGCGTCATTCGAACAGGCAGATAACTGTGAGATGATAGGCATCGGGATCCTTCGATGTCTAGTCAAACGATGGTAATCTGGGAAAGGACATTACTTCTCTAATGAACCTCAACATCTGACTTTCAACAGAGAACAAGAGCAAATCGCCGCTGGATATTCCATACATAATCAAGATATTGGAGAAAGGTTGATCCGTTCTTTCATATTATTAGGAAAGCTCAAGTAGGTCTATTCACGACAGAGTACCAAGGAATGAAGCGATACAATGACCCCATGTATGCTCGTGTGGGCTCTGAACTTAGTGCATTGTGGACACAAGCCGAATCGAAGAAGTCTCTTTGTGTTGATCGGAAAGAGCAAAAGCGAGAGAACGCGTAGAGTTCTGTAATGTGGTATGCGGTCACTATTGCTCTGAACAGCTGTTCGTTGAAATAGCTCATTGAAGTCTTGGGTTGAAACTACTGTCTACTCGAGGTTCAACTCGGCCATACATCAATTACTCTACACGTGCCATGACAATGCAAAGAGACACTGCCCTTCCAAGCAAGCCTGTGCCAGGTCAGCATTTCGTCAGACATCGCTCCACGCCTCTCTTCGGAACAAGCGAGGCTGCCGGCATACGGCTCTCGGGCAGACATGATCTGATAATTTGAGGGTCCAAGTCAGCGGAGAGTGCGGGGTTGCGAAGAAGGATGCAGATGGTGCTGGTTGCCTTGAGGGGTGTCACGTGGCTCGTTTCTCTAAGAGTCTAGACCCTGGGGCCCTGCAGCAAAGTCAGGATCAGCTCTACGGAAGCCTTGCCAAAACCTAGTTATCAATAGGCAAGGTCAGACATTCTCGTGTAGTTGGCTGAGAAGCCGGCTATGCACTGCCTGTCATCGTGGCTGCAGGCTAGGCAGGGAGACAGCTTAGGTGGTTTACGGTAAGCCGAGCCCCGCGTTGATGGGCGCTTGTTAGCGGGTTGGCATGTTGGCATGCTGGCGGGGTCAAGCCATCAGGATCAAAGATGGAGGGCAGCCACACGACAACCTGAGGGTAGGGGAAGAGAGGAGATATCTCGGCCTTTGCTGGTAATGGAAATGGAAATATCTCGACAATGATTTGACGCTGGGAGGCATCGTATGGGAGGAACCGCCCTTACAAGATGTGCTGCATCGAAGGTGTTTGCATGGGAGCTTGGCGGGAGTCGACGAGAGCTGCATGGCCATGGCCTTACCATAGTAGGTGCCACATCCGGCACGCCAATGCCTATTGCGCAGTAAAGACTCCACGAGATCTCCGAATGGGCTCCCAAAGGGGAAGTATCAGACCACCTCCCTGGGATCCCTCAGGCGATACTCACAGAAAGGGCTGCATTCAAAGTCGTTGGGATTGGTGACTACCAGGTCCTCAACCTCACATGCTACTACGCAACTTGCCTGACAGGCACCAGAGAGGAGGTGCGCCATGATGCTGTTGGATCCGGGGAAGTGAGACCCTTGGAGACTTGTGTAGTCTTGTCTTGGAACAGTCAGTCTAGAGGGAGATGCGCGCGGGGAAAGGGAAGGCGGTTGAGGTGACGATGCAGAGACATAAAGACCCAACATGTGGGCTGTCAAGAAACTAGATCTCTTCCCAGACACTACCCGCATCTCTACACTTTCCGAAGTGACGTTTGAATTGGAGTGAAGTGAATTGAATTGAATTGTGTTGAGTCAATTCAGTTGACTTCACTTCACTTTAGAGTGTTGTGTGCGGAGAACCTCGGAAGTGAGATTGATGAGGGTTTTATGAATAACAACAGACACATCCACACCCACATCCACATGTCCGATTGACAGCCACGAATAAGAGCCGCTCAAATCACCAGCAGCACCGATCGAGTCAGTTACGATCGATTTCCAGTGGCTTGGGCCAAGTGCTGGCAGCCTATTGCAGCAAGGGGATTACAGAGAGCCTCTCCACTGTTTCCCCTCACTGACTGACTGGAGACTGGGCATCCTCGGCCACTGCGCAGCGCAGCGGCACAAAAGCCCCGCGAAAGTCAAGGTGAAGTGTGTGACATCGCCGGTTCCGGGATAAGCCGGCCATCCATCATCCATCATCCAAAGGCCATCCTGTACACTCTCTGCTCTCTGTCAGTGTATGCAGAGTCAGTCATCACATCACATCACTCAAAAGTAAGTAGTCAGTAAAGTGACTACGCAGAAAGTTGAGGTGTTTCTATTTTATATTTTTAAATCCTCGACGTCAGGTTTACCTTCTCCTGCATACACACACACTTCCACTTCCATCCATCTTTCCAGGTTTTTCGGCCACTCTTTTCTGCAGCCGGCACCTGCACTGGACCAGTCAAAGAGCAACCTGCCTGACAGCCTGGAGCAAACCCGCCGCCGAAGCTGGGATCATCGCCGATCTGATCTGATTTGACCGCTACGCACCTGCGACCTTTTCCTGGCTCTGTGCGACCATCACCGCCGCATTTATCTTATCGTCATCTTCGTCGGCCGCCCACTTTCTGACCTTGGTATCGACCGCTGGCTGTCGAATATTGCGAAGAAGCACGAGAAGAAACGTATCTTGTCAAGTAGACGAAGGCGGATCACTGTCGTCTTATTCTACGATTTGCGAAACAGCGCCTAGGCGGGATCGCCACAAGCCAAACGAGCACCTAGGGTGGCCCTGGTCTTTTGTGGAGGAAGACACCAACGCAAACGCTGCACCCCAGGCAGGAGGCGGACAGCCTCGGACAAGGATATCGTCTGTTCTCTCGAGACCCCTATCGACGTCGACAAAATAGCATCGCCTGTCGACGCTCTCTTCTCCCAGGCGGCACCCAACTGCTCCAGCCATAACAACCATCTCCGAAATACCGCATCCCACACATCTACCGCTCACATGTCTCCCAACATGCCTTCCCAGCGGCCCTTCTTCCTCTCCACCTTCCTCGCCGCCTTCAGACAGCCCTCCTCCCCCTCGCTAGCGACGACCACCTCCTCTCAACCGAACAAGCACACCACACAGGCCTCAAGCAACTACAATTCCGCGGGAGGCGCCTCCGCGCCGCGCTCCATCGCCTCGTCCGCCCACGCCCAGGCGCAGTCCTCAGCAGCGGCGCAGGCGCAGGCGCGTCTGCACTCGCCGCGACAGCACAGCGCCATCCCGATCCCGCAGCAGGGCGGAGCAGGCGGAGGCGGTGCGGCGGCGGGCAGCAGGCGGCGGGGCAGCGACAGCTCGTCCGAGGGCTTCCGCGAGGTGATGGGCGCCGACAAGTGGTACATTGGCGGGCGGACGGCGGGCGGCGAGGAGAAGTTCTTCAAGCTCGGCGTCGTGCGGCGGGTGCGCAGCGGGGATCGGCTGAGCATAGACCGGCTGAGCTTATGATCGGCTCACGTTCCGGGTGGCTGAGATCGGGTGACGATGAAGGAAAGAATGTGGGAAAGAACAGAGGAGCAGCATAAGAGAGAAAGAGCGTCGGACCTAGACGGCGGGCTGGCGAGGCGGTGGTAAACATGATTATGCTATGATTTTGCTTTTTGGGATTTATGTCGGGGACATAACGGCGTTCAAGGGACTCTGGGGCAAACCAAACCATATACAGGCCGGAGGTATTCCGTGAAACCTGTCTGGCATCATCTGGGACGGGATATGAGAATTCTGCACAGTTCGGGTATACAGTATTGACCCGTACGTAGACAATCGAGAGGTTGATACCTATGTGATATAAGAGACGAAGAAGATCACAAAGGCACACTCGCTTAGGCTTAAGCGTAGCAAACAACTGTTGCACTGGCCCGAAATGGTGCATGGCGCGACGTAGCAAATGCAAGCAAGAATTAAAAGACTCTAGTTGAGCATATGTGAGGTTCAGTGATACAATAAGTTTACATGCTAGCTAGTCTATATGGCTGGTTATGAATCTGATCTACCACATGAATCTTTGCACCCTGCCCCCATCAAGCAGTGTGCCATTCTCATCCTTCCAGAAGAACGGCCTTGTGAGGAAAATATACATGGTGGCGAAGTTGATCAGCAGGAACCACATCGTCTCGAGCACCAGCCGCAGGTCCATCTTTCTGCCCAGGCTGAACAGCCAGCCGACGCCCCTGACACGATCAAGCCGATGAGCGCGGTTGAGCGGGTCTGTGCACACATGTACTGGCCACGCAGGGACCAGCAGACGCCAGAAGACCCAGGGAAGAATGAAGTAGCGCGGCTCGACGAGTGGCGCCGTGATGAGCGAGAGCGACGTGGTCAGGAGCCAGAGCAAGGCGGTCGATGTGGGAGGCGGGACTGATGCGTTGGATTCCTTCTCGTCGAGGGTCTCGATGAGCTTCGACGGCGGCTGCTCTAGATTATTGGAGCCCTCCTCCTCAGCATCAGACCGAGCCTCGGAACGGAAGAGCAATGGCTCCGGGAACGGTCGATTGTAGAAGGTTACTGGGCTATTGCTCTGCTTCGAGACCGGACACTCGGGCGCCTGCGGGCCAAATATGTTGAACCAGCAACCGCTCAGTGCCTTCCAGCAGAGCCAGCGGCTGACAGTGTACACGGGGATGAGCAAGTAGCGCATCGCTATGGATCGTAGGATGGTGTATCTGAATATGTAAAACATATAATGGCGGTTGTCTGCGAGTGTGAAGGGGTGTATGATAGTGTTGTATCGCACGACGAGAAACGACAATGCGAAGGTGCCGAGGTAGTAAGGAAAGTAGAACAGCTTCCCTTGGAAGAACTTCCTTGTCTGTACGAGAGCCCAAGACTGTTGCTGAGATGAAGGAGAACGCCCCGGTGCAGGTGCTCCAGATGACTTCGGCCCTCGCTTCCGAGAGCTGCCGGATCTACCCTTACTGGGAGTCTGGTCTGGAGCCTTGGTGGAATCTTGAGATGATGCCACTGGCTCACTCGACGCCAAACGGCTACCCAATATGTTTCGAAGGACGCCCAGAAAGGGGAAGATAGAAGGAATCAAAAGAGGTGCCGAGAAAAAGGCAAACATGGGCCATATATATAGCATTTGGGCAAGATGGATAGTCGCAACATGGTTGGACTTGTCTCCTGCTCCTTGTTAGTATAATTCTTGGGATTAACGTCATTTAACAACTGACCTAGCACGACCCCGTCATTCCAGTAGACGAATGAGGCGAATAGCCCAAGAATCGTGACGTGAGGCCACACTTGTCTCAGCACCTTGTAGGGGTTAGAGACTGCTGCGATGCCAACACTCAGGATGCAGAAAAAACAGTCTAACCTGTTAGCAATAACCGTAGTAGAGACGGACTGTCTACGTACCATCTATCCAAGCAATATTCAGTGGAGGGTCATGGATCTCTCCCAGTGAATACCTCCATGCATAATGACTGACCACCTCAGTGAGCGTGGTAAACTCGGGCTTCTCAACCGGTGCCGGTTTAAGTGCTTTGATGGCATGGAACGCTTCAAGACCACCCATGTATACGACCACCCAAAAGACATTTGTCTGACGCATCAGTAGGGAAGCTATCCCGAGTAGGATAGTCCAAAAATCACTCAAGACCGATGGCGTTAGAGCTGACACGCGTGAGAGGTGATTGTAATACGCGAGAAGAACAACGACTGTTGAGTACACATCCGTGTAGTACAACCCAGAAAAGAAGAACAAGACCGGGAACAAGGCGATGTTCAAGCTCGTGTGCAGCTGGTAAAGCGGAGCTCCTCGAGTTGTCTTGTTTTGCTGCTCGATGAGGTTCCTGGACAGAATTGACAAAGTCGAGATCATAATAATGGCAACAACATTGCCAGACCGCAGATTTGCAGCTGTACAGCCTGCTGCAGCTCGTGCTTTGTAATAGAAGAGACTGATGAGATAGCTTGGACAAGTCAGCGAGTTGGAGCCTGGCTGGAGCGTAGAGAGATGCATACAGGCCAGGAGGCGTGGTTATCTTATCATCCCAGTCATAGTATTTACCATCGCAATACTTCTGAGCCTGTGGGATGTGAAATACTTCGTCCTGTTTGATGTGATTAGAGATATACGCCGTAAGTTTGATGTGAGACGTACCAAGTATGGTTTAGGGGCTATGAGGTTCACATATCCAAGCCATCCTCCTGCAAGGATGCCAAGAATGAGGGTTGGAATAATGGAACCTGAAATGGATCTTCTGGGAGTTGATCGGAGAGAATTGTCAATTATACCAGCGACTAGCATCCCAAGAGAGACTCTCAGGAGAAGTGCCTGCGTGTCGGAGCCGGCCATGGTGGACTACTAGTTAATTTTAGCTATCGGGTAGGAGAAGCTTCATTATGCCAACAAAAGAAATCTTCAAAGAAACAGAGCATCAACTAGTCCACTTATAAAGAAACACGAAGGCAGGCGCAGAAGATGTACCACAGCTTGCTTCGTCCTGATCGTCCGGCTGCCTAAGCTTGAGAAACTCTGGGGATCCTACAGCAAGGCTCAGCAGATGTTTAGCGACGTGTTAACGCTGGGAGGTGGACCGTGCGCCCTAACAGACCCGCTACGAAATCGGCTGTACAAATCCATCAGGCACTCTTGAGAGCAAGAAATTGCCACTGGAAGGAATGTTCGAAAAGGTTACATTTCTTCTCCTTCTTTCAGACCTATGTTAGGTCCAAAGCTGGAGAAGCACATTACTTCAATAACATGTGCGTGGCTTTGTCGCAGAAAGTCCTTCTTGAACGGAGAACCTGCTGGTCAACAACATCTCTAAATCCAATGTTTTGTTGAAGAGACTTGATAGCGCCTAGATATGCCTGTAAAACAAAATGATAGACAATTCTTAAACGGAGAGGATCTCGGGTCAACACTTTGGTGGATGTGAAGTCTATTGAGGGCAACTTTTATACAGGCTACACCAATACAACAGGACCGCTCTATGCAAGCCCTCTTTTTCTACCAATGCCACTCCTCGCCTTCCGTACGAAACCAAATCTCCGTTTAGAACGGCTGTTGGGTTTGTTAGCCTGTGTTTAGCCACCGCGAAACCGGGAATACTCACGTTGTCTGACGCGGGAATCTCATTGACGAAGTAACCGCCAATGACAGGGACTTTCTGCGAGGGCCATTAGCGAGGACTCGGGACGGTACAGATTATGATGCTATAAGGTAATCATACCTGCAGAATGTCCTTTTGTACTCGTGGGATGCCAGAAGCATAGAAGATGACAGCGAACAGAGCAACGCCTCCGAAAGCAGCGCTTCGCGCTCCCCTACGTCCGAGGTGTCAGTTGTTAAATGTTTCCACAGCGGGCAATGTCTCTTTCTCTTACAGTCCAAATAGCTGCTTGCCCGTAACGCCCATCACATTCGGTTGGAACTCGTATCTGGAAAGCCGTCAGCCCAGCCCATTTTCGAGCAACCTCATCTCCTTCCAGTCAGGCGATTCGGTCCAGGTCGGAAGTCGATCGTAAATAATGGATTCAAATTGGGCTGTATAGATCGGTGCGCTTACTTCGGTCCATAAGGGCTCTTATACTCGGGCCAGCGGGCGGCAGGCTTTGCAGCCATGCGAATCGGGGTCTGCAGGTGGAAAGAGTTAGCACGATCTTAGGTTCTCTGCAAGCTGGCCAGCGCAGGCCTAGGATGGACAAAAATGCTTCTAGAGTTCAAATATCAACGTACAGGGAAAGGCATTGTGACTGTGTGCCGAGAGAAAGACGACTGGCGGTTCAATTGGCTTCGACAAGAACTGATCGTGGTGGTGGTTTGATGTTGTTGCGCGAGATCTTTGACGGGCAGAGCCGGAATTGGCGTTGCTGCCTCAGGACTCAACCCATCCGACTACCTAGTGAGGCAGCTCCTGGCCAGCCGCACCTACCTAGGTACCTACCCCGGCTCAGCGCTAGCCTTGCCTTTGAATGGTTGCGCCTCGTGAAACATCCATACCTCTTTGCTACTCTAACCCTTAGAGCTGTCGGGTGCAGCTCGCCAGTGATGGACAAATACATCGATAGCCGGTTCGACCGCGTCGAGAAGGCTCTGTCAACGCTGATTGATTCCATCGCAAAGTATCATCCTTCTACTGCGCAGGCGAACGAGCTAGCCGCCGCAGATCGGGAGCTCGCGAAAGGCCTCGAAGAACGTGAGTCCTCCAGGGAAGCAGCGTCCCTTAGAGACGAGAGACTAAGTTGAAACGATGTAGTGCAGACACATCAGAATAACTATCTACGGATACAACAGCTTACGGCAGCTACAACGACCTTGGACAACCAGATCCGGGAGACACTACGGACACTAGCTTCGACGCGGAAGGATATCACGACCACCTCGACGACCACATTTCCCGACGGGCCTCACTATGACATAAAATACGATGAGCTTCTCAGCTACGCCCGGCGCATCAGCAAAACAACTCTGCCGCCTTCCGGCGTCATCAATGGCATAGACACGCCCGGCGTGACCAGCCCCGCCGCTGGTGACGGAGCCGACACCGCCGCCCCAACACCCGCCGCATCCACGCCGGCTATGAACGGCGCGCAGACTCCCGGAGCCACGGGTGGCGAGCCGACAAGCGAGATCCCCTCTCAAATGACGGTCACAACGCAAGCCACCAGTCTCCCGGAGCACCTAGCGGGCTGGCTCAACCCACTTACCGGCACCATGTTCATCCCCTGGCCAGCAGAGGACAAGATCAGGGCGGGATCGCTGGCGTCGAATCAGCTCCTCATGGAGCAGGGGCTGGACATCCGCAACTACGACCCGGCCGAGGAACAGGCTCGACGGCAGCGCGAGGAGGAAGAGCGCAAGGCGCACGAAGAGCGCGAGATCCGCGAGCGGGAAGAAAGCCTGCGCAAGATGCGCGAGGAGCAGGAGCAGCTTAGGCGTGAACGGGAGCAGGCCCGCGCGAGGGAGCAGCAGGAGGACTTGCGACGCGGCAGTATTGCCGGCGTTGGGCCTCAAGCTGGTGGTGCGCCGCGGCCTCCGCAAGAGAAAAAGCAGTTCCAGTTTATGGGAGATTTGGATGATGACGATGAGTAGTAATCATTGCATCATCGCATTGGACAACAGTACGTGGGAACTCTCACCAGGGACTGTCAATGTCTGAATAAAAATGCTTATTATCTATTCCCGCCGCTTTTTGCCCCAAGCCAGCCGAAATGAAACGCAAGCTATGAATCCAACCATGTTCCCAGACGCCAAGCCGTTTTCGAGAGGGCCATCGCCGTCGCACATTCCTGCTCGTGACCCCAAACGGCATATCTAGGCTCTCGGAACTTTAGCGGATGATGGACTGGTGTTCGTACATGCTCTACTACAAGTACACGCTTTTTCCAGCCCTCGTTCCTTTCTTTGTAGATTCTCGTGAAATACTGCTCGCCACCACTTCTCAATCAATCTTGATCGAAGAGTAGATCTTCCTCACGAACCACCAACTTGAGAAGAATCCAATCGATCCTGGGTAAGGTATTAGCTAATTTTACACGTCAATAGTTATTGTGGATCACATACCTGTCAGAATGAAGAACAGGAAGGAGATCAGAGCACTGTAGCCGATGTACAAGATGCTACCGGCCAAGCCTCCCAGCGATATTTTACTTATCCAATAGATCATGGCATTGGCAAAGATGTATCCAGCACTCATGCCAGCTGCCAGGAAAGATCGCCACTGCCAATTGTAGTTCTCAGCACACAGAAGGAAATACACCATGAGGACAGTAACAGCTGCGCAGGTGATGATCATGAGGCCATAGCAGAGGAACAAGAAGCCGAACATGTAGTAGATCTTGCTGAACCAAATCGAGCTCATAATGAAGTAGAGCTCAACAAAAATTGCACCAAAAGGCAGTATACCGACTAGCAACATACTGGGAATCGGCTTGAGATATGTGGTTGTAGGCGGGATTTGGCGAGGAATCTGGTTGGTGCGGACGGGGGGCTCAATTGCAGAGGCTCTGAAACCAAGCCAGGAGCCCGCAAATGAGAGCGGAACAGAAATGATGAACCAAATGGCAACGATGACGAGCATCGTGGTAAAGGGCACGGCTCCGGAAGACTGCTTAGCCCAGAGAAAGAGGTCGAGCAAGAAGAAGGTCGAGAAGACAATGCCCGGAACAAGGAGTGGCGTCAGAGCAATGTTCAACTTCCACTTTTCGCCATTCAAAGCCTTGTATACTCGTGCAGAGGTATAACCGCCAACAAAGCCAAGCACCGTGTACAAAAGGACCATGATTGTGCCGAGAGATCCACGATTAGATGGTGACAGGAAGCCGAGCAAGGCGAAGCAGATGGTGAACCCAGTCATGACGAAGAGCTGAGCACCGTTACCCAGGAAAACGGAGAGAAGAAGGGGATGGGATGGTGTTCGGAAAACATCTCCATGGACCAATTTCCAGCCGGAATCTTCCTGAACTCCATCTTCAATGACCGAGGTCCCGTTCAAATCATCCAGATTGATCTGGTCGAGCCTATTGTACCTGGCAATATCCTTCTTCAGAGCTCTAACCAGTACCGACATCACAGTCAGGACAAGGAAGACCACAATGATAGCGGAATTGATCAGGGAGAACCAGTGAATCTTCGGGTCGAACACGTGGAGGTATTTGTCCCATCGTGTAGCCCACGCTGTCGTAGACTTCTCCCACTTGACACTGTATGTGAACTGGACCTTCGTATCCCCCTCCTCATTGAGTACGATCGGTTCATGCTTGTCGAGCTTGCAGTCGGGGGTGCTGCTTCCATATTGGAGGGAGGCGGGCCTAACCAACACCCCAACGACTCGTAGCTGATCAGGGTTACCCGAAACTTCATGGTATTCGACCTGGATCTCGTAATGATTATGAAACATCAGCTGGTTGGCTTGGTTCTCCTCACCCAAGAGGAAGCCGGGGCTATAAAAGTCGGTTCCTGTGAGCTCATCGACAATGTCCTGTCCGGCCGGCAGTCCATCCACAAGCCAATTCAAGCTATAGCCTTGTTGAATTCTTCGATTCACAAAGTTTGCCTGACCCTTGTCGTAGCTAACTTCGCATAGCTGTTTGCACTGCTCGTCTTTTGCCATGTTCAATTCGAACGGGGACGTTTTTATCCTATCGCCGAAGAGAATACTGCCCAGACTCTCGCCGACACTTTGTGGTCCCTCGGGCGGCCGACAGAACTTGAAAAGGGGATGGTAATAGTCGTAGGAGACGACGGAATGTAGTAGAGCATCTTGAGGAGCTGCGATAGGCTTGATTGCGTTGACATACAGCGGGACCTTGTCACCGGGTTTATATGATGTCGGTGCTACACCCGGGAGGTAGAACGCAGATGTAAGCTGCGGCAGCGCAGCCAGCGACGCCAAAAGCGCCGCCGACGGCGTTGCAAAGTCTCGCAATTGCATATTCGTCTATATGAGTGTGTCGAGCTATGATGGTCAGTTTGGATATAAATGGAGGAGACTGCGAAGAGATGAGGATAGTGAGTCGCACCTTGACCGTTAAATTGCTGGACGCGAAAGCTCTTGCGCAAAAGCTCCTGCAGGATGAGGCTGGACTTGAATTACACAAGGCTAATCAAGCATCACCTCCTGGCGGACGAAACTTCCCTTTTCAAACAGAAGCACCGATCAGTTTCCTGAATGGTGATAAATTCGCATCAGACTCCGAATTGTACGAGTTTCGCGGTATTTCGATTAGTTGGATGCTCTCAGCTCCCTGAACAAGCTGTCCTGTCCACACCACGGTTCCACTCTGCTGCGGACGCCACATGACAGGCACCGAGTATCTGGCAGCTTAGTCATCACGGCATCGGCCAATTCTGCCCTCCGGATCTTCAACGGCGGGCTGCCCAAATGCTTGGCGGCAGGGGTGCTATCAGCGGGATGGGGCTGCCCTAAAAAAAGTTTCTGGTGCTGGTTATCAGAAGCGAAGCTTTCGCACTCAAGATTTGTATCATCCGCCGAGAACCAACAAATTCGCGAAGATGGCATCAGCCTCGACACTTCCGGGGTTGTTAGACACCTTAAGTCAATCACTATCGTCAGCTCTCGAAGCTACACCAAAACTGTCCGGGATAGAGCCACAGAAGGACGGTTTATCTCTACTCGATGTCAAGAATGAGCTTCTACTCTCCTACCTCCAGAACCTAGTCTTTCTCATCCTCCTCAAAATCCGCCAGTCACGGAATGGAAACTCAGGTAATGCCGATAGTTCCTCCTCTTTGGACGATGCCGTCGTTAAGAAGCTTGTTGAGCTGCGGCTTTACCTCGAGAAAGGTGTTCGCCCCCTCGAAGACAAATTACGCTACCAGATCGAAAAAGTGTTGCGCGCTGCAGACGATGCAGAGCGGAATGCGAAAGCTCTAGAGACAGCAAAGAACACCGAGAAGGATGGATCGGGCTCAGAGTCTGAATCTGGTAGCGATGAGGAAAGCGACGAGGAGAATGAACACGAAGATCAAGGGCGAAAGATCTCAGACTTGCAGTATCGTCCTAATTTATCTGCTTTCGTACGCCCTGCGGCTGCTGCAGCTCCTACAACAAAGAAAGACACGAATGGTGTTTACCGACCGCCTAAAGTCGCACCGACCGTGATGCCAACAACAGAGCGCCGCGAGAGAACGGACCGCAGAGCACTGAAATCTGCCACTATGGACGAATACATCGCCGATGAGCTCTCCGCTGCTCCAATGGCTGAGCCAAGTATTGGTACAACTATCGTTCAGGGTGGTCGGAAGACCAAGACAGCCTCGGAGCGAAAGGCAGAAGCAGAGAGACTAGAGTATGAAGAACGGAACTTCGTGCGACTACCGAAAGAAAGCAAAAAGGACCGTGCCCAGAAAGCAAAGATTGAGGGTCGAAGAGGGCGTATGAATTTCGGAGGTGAAGAGTGGAGAGATCTCGGCGCGGGAGTGGATAGGATCAATCGCTTGACCAAGAGCAAGGGAGCCGGCGGCGGGACGAAGGCCCTCCTCGATAAGAGTAGAAAGAGGGGCTTCGAGACCGTGGATGGCCCACGAGGAAGTGGCAGCGCTGGTGTGGAAATAGGCGACAGATTTCAAAAGAGACTGAAGACGCTTGAGCGTGGCAGAGGAAAGAAACGATGAACGCCAATTCTACCATCTCTAAATTGCAAATACAGCTATCAAATTTACCATTCTATCAGTATATTTCTTATCGTTTCTAGCCAGCTAGATCTCTTTGCAGATGCTTGTCGCTTGAGGAGCGCGAGCGGTCTGGCCCCATGCGTGGAGACTTTTGCGCCTAAAAGCTGCTCCCTGTATCTCGTCCTGCCTGTTCTCCGGAAGATAGACCAAGTCCGTTACGAATCGCGCTTTCCACCTCCACGATTCTCTTAGGCAGGACGAAGCCAAGCCCAAAAAAGACAAAGAAAGCCCACTTCCAGCGGAATGGGTTGAATGCGACGCAGAAGAAGAACCACCAAAGCAACTCCAGATAAGTAAAGAAGTCAAATGCCCCAGTTGGAGCAGCTGCCTTCAAAACTTTGGTCATGTCGATCCAACGCTTCATCCAGAAGGGGCTAGGCCTGGTAAGAGGGTCGACGAGGAACATCAAGAGGATGCGAGTGTAGATGCCGATATGCCAGTTGCCGACGGTGCCAATGGCCGAGAGATATGTGCAATTGATGGCTGAGATCGAGGGGTGGTTGGGTGGGAAGGTTTGCAGATACCAGTTCGGCGCACCATACGGTTCTTGGAAGCAGTCTTCTGGTAGGAAAGCTAGGGAAGGCCTTTTGTATCCAGTAGCCAGGACAACAATGTCGCCCTCGATAAGCTCATGGTGTCCTGGCCCTCCCTTTGGTACGCCTTTGGCGCGGCGGTTGACTAATACCCCGTTTTCCTTGAACCCTTCGATGTCACATCGAACCCACTCTGCCTTGCCAGAACGAAGTTTGTCCATTACGTCGCTGTTAACCATTGGAGTGTCCATGAAAATGCCTTTATCGGTTGGCGCAAGATCTTGAAGGTCTCTATAGAAGAATTTGCGCAACAAAGTCTCCGGAATGAACGAGAATAGAGTTTCCTGGCCGAAGATATTAAACGAAAGGAGCATGTTCACGATCGGATTCCTCGGAATGATCCACTTGTCACTTCTTGAGAGGATGTAGATCTTCTCAGCCTCCTCTTCAGATGCGAACTCGAGTGCCTCTACAGCACTTGCACCGCCACCGATGACAATCATGGTCTTTCCCTTGGCGCTCTTGCCTGTCAACTTGCTTGAGTGATAAATCTCACCCTTGAAGTCTTGCATTCCATCAATGTGAGCCATTTTCGGATCACCGCATGTTCCAATTGCGGCGACAAGTCCGTCAAATCTGCCTTGAGAAGGATCATTGACAACCCATCTCCCTTTCTCATCCTGGTAGACCTTGTCGACGTTGACGTTGAACTTCGTGCGCCCTTGCAGATCATACCGCTCCCAGAGCTGCCTTACTTGGCTTACTATTTGCTGACGATCCGGGTAGCCGCGTTGCCACTTCACAGAAGGGTGGAAACGATACATAAGGGAATGGATCTGCAAGCTTGAGGTGTTATTCACCTTCTATGAGAAATGTCAGCGCTTCGACTCATCCCGGGGTATCAAGAGAGACCTCACGCTCCAGATACCGCCGAGGTTGTCCTCAGAGCCGGCCTCAAAGATGACAACATCGAAACCATGGCCAATGCAATGCGCAGCTGCAGTGACTCCTGTGATACCTGCGCCTATGACCGCGACTTTAGGTCGACCCAGCGTGGATCTCGGCCCGGGAGGATTCGGTGATAGAATTTTGTCTGACAGCCATTGCAGAACCTGGTAGGAGAAAAGAAAAGGGTGCAAAATCGGGTTTTCGGCTTCAGATCGCGTAGGCATGGTGAAGTCCTTTAATCGAAAACTCGACCCGCGGATGGAACGGGATTGTGTGTCAGCACGAGATGAAGCTACCGGCTATGTCAATAGCAATCTCGATTTAGATCTTGTCTAAACCAGGGCGAAGTTTCTAAATAGTAAAGTGAGATGCAGGATTTAATTTTGTGTCAATTGAACGTTTTTAAACCGCTTATGATTAACGAGTAGTCCTGAGCGCGTTGCAGGGTGTGCCTGCCAAGCGTATCCATTTTATCGTTATTTTGACGTCATTGACACTCACGCCCGCTTGCCAATTGACATGTGAAATGGGGCACTGTCCATGTCAAATTGAACACATGTGAATTGGATCTCCACCAAAGTGATTGATTACACGACTTCCCTGAGACACAACTACCTAGCACATGTTAAAACGGCCACGGCGACAATGTATTTACCCGCGGTGTTTCAACCAAATAATAATCCAACGAGTGTACATCCAGCCAGATACCACTATTACCAATCATGCTTTAGGAACAATAACGATTTTGCTGCACCCAGTTGCACATTTGTGTGCCTATACAGCTGCAGCATTTGCATGCCTGTCGGGGACAATGTTAGTGATTTTTTGGTCCGGGGAGGATTGCATTGATAAAAGGGGTTGTCTTGCCTTCCTCTTTCTATCCGCGTCATCTTTACCCTCGATACATGTCAACGTCCGGGCACCATTAAATCGATACTGATTATAGCAGGCGATAGGATTGAGCACGTCGGCGCAGTCATCGGATGTTGCAAGCTCGTTCGTACATACAGTGGCCTGCTGGGCGAGGACTATGGTGAGCCACAAAGCTAAGAATGCCAATTCGAATTTCATGATGAAACTGTTGAGGCGTTCCGCGATAATTAGAACAACTCTCCGTCATGAAAAGGGATGCACGAGAATCAAGTGGACTAAAAATTCATGACACGCAACATTATATACGTACAGGTTGGTAAGTCCTTGCCTCGGCGGTACTATCTGGATGCCACACTTCCGGGGTGACAGAATATGTGGATTCAACATCTACATGTGCCGTGCATGGCATATGGCACCTCTTGTTTCGACAAGTCTTGATGGTGTGTATATATATGTTTGATTTGCCAAGACAGAACAAGTCCGAAGTTGAATGAAGTAGACAATGCGGGGCGCGGGGAGATAATATACACGGGCCAAAATAGACCAATGACCGCCGTCTCATAGACTCACATGTAGAATTAAGCTTCAAGGTTCTCGGGATGATGGGAGATGACAGCCTCGAATGCCGCAAACGTGGGAAAAAGAGAAGCCGTACCATGCCTCTGTCAGGTGCGCTGGTTTCGCTGTAACATCTACAGCCACTGTTACAGTGCGAAGTTTAGCCAGATGTTTTATCTTTCGGTGATGAATAGTGAATTATCATTTCCTTCTGCGAAGCCAATCCATTTATCTCATTGACATATCCAAAACCAAATCAAAAGATTTTCTAGCGGATTAATAATGAAGTAGAATGGTGTTGAAGCCCTATAGCTATCCACTCATTGTAGGAGCGAAGTGGCAAGAGGCGACAAGGTTCGTCCAGGAGTTTTGAGTTCCTATATTCGGACAGTTATCGCTATTGACATTAGCCGCTGTCCTTGCCAATCTCACCTATTTACCGAATCAAGACTCTCAACTAAATTAATAGACGACTTCGACGAATGCCAATACATTTTGTATGACAATATGGTAGCCAAGACACCAACGGCAGTTGCTGGGATATGATTTTGGATTTCCGGGTTGTTGACATCAAAACTATGGCTTGTTCCCACATTTCACACTCGCTCGCTTCCAAATCGTCTTTCAGTTTCATCCGAACAGACCTCGACAATCGTGACACTGTTGAAGATGAAGGGCAATACGTTTGCGGCTATCCTTAGCCTTCTCGCGCCTGCTAATGCGTTGATTCGATTTGGCTGCGCTCAATTAACAGTTCAACGCCTTGATCCATTAGTCAATCCCGGGCAAGTCCCGTCAACGCATGTTCACCAAATCATCGGTGGTGTAAGGATCATTCCACTTCTACTATATCTAAACAGGCAAAATTTCTAATAGGTCGGAACAGAACTCATTCAATGCCACGATGGATCCTGGTAGTCACGATCTTCCAAGCCTCTCAACTTGCACCAGCTGCCAGTTCACTGAAGACTTTTCTAACTACTGGACGGCGGTTCTTTATTTCCGTGCGCGAAACGGCACCTTCAAGAGGGTGCCACAAATTGCACAGTCAGGTATGGAAGGGACGAAGGGTGGAATGGTAGTCTATTACATGTCCGATGCTCTGTTCGACACTGCCCAGAAGTCAACTGTCACTGCTTTCAAGCCAGGATTCCGCATGCTTGTCGGTAACAACAATGCTAGAGATCGTGACGACTCCCGCAAATGGCGCCAACTTAGCTATACCTGCATGGAGAATCAAGCAAGTCGTACTCCCGAGTCTACCGAATTCCCTCAGGGGCCGTGCAAGCTCGGCATCATGGCTAATCATCGCTTCCCAACTTGCTGGGATGGCAAGAACCTTGACTCTCCTAGCCACCAAGACCATGTAGCGTACCCGGAGACTGGAACGTTTGAGTCTGGTGGCCCCTGCCCCGCCTCACACCCCGTGAAGATCCCGCAACTCATGCTCGAGACTGTCTGGGATACGAGCGCTTTCAACAACAAGAATGAGTGGCCTACGGATGGGAGTCAACCATTTGTTTGGTCGAGTGGCGACAAGTCCGGCTTTTCGAGCCACGCCGATTATCTGTTCGGTTGGAAAGGCGATTCTCTTCAAAAAGCTATGGATGCACATTCATACGTCAGCGCACCAATGCTCAAGACGCAGGGTATTGCGGATCAGAACAAATGTACTGTTCCCAGTATGGTCCACGAGGATCTCGATGGCTGTAAGTCATGCATCCCAAATTCAATCAGTCCCTCCGAGACTAATCATTCTACAGGGTTGAGCAAGCTCCCTGGTGATAACATGGTGATGTAATGTTGGGTTCTGTATGCGATGAGTCAAAGGGATGCAACCTGGGTGCTGATTTAATAGCACTGCAATTGTCCGACGAGTCAAACTTTTCTCGATGTTCCCACAGTCGTTAACTTCCGTACATCGAGAAGATGTTCTCAATGATACAGAATTATGCTTCAATCACCGATATCTTCCCATTGTCGGTAGCCATTTCTATCACAGTATAATTAGCTGATTTCTTATTCGAAAAGTTTAGCTGCACATTTGATCCTCTTAAGGGTATTCTACCATTGTCAGTTATCAGTGCCATTTGTGTGGTGTCATGACATTTTCTCCAGGTAGTGCGATATGTCTTGAAACATTTGTGTCCAATTTCCATCGGCAAGATTAACTTTTCACTTTCAGTGTAAGAAATATTGAGTCAGCTCCCGCTTCCCGGATTTCCGCTCATCAACGGCTTCTCCATGCATATACCCGTTAATGTAAACGTCACCCACAAATCGATATTCGTCTCGAGTTCCTTCAGATCTTAGAATTATAGGTGTCGAGCAGCCCAATGGTACAACCACTATGTCCCCTGGTACCATGAACCCGGAGCCCAACCCCACCAAATCATCCGTGAGGCAGAGACACCGCCCAATCATCGGGTATTGAAAATGATCCTTGAAAAACTGCACCCGCTCCAGTGAACTTTTATGAACCCTATGACTAACTTTGGCCTGGAGCACTGAGTCAAGGGGCAAATGAGGAAGCTGCTTACGTAGGAGGTTTGCAAATACATTATAGCAGACGACTAGCCATTCTTCCGGATCCATTTTGCATAAAGGATCTTGACCGAAGCACAAGCTTGATGCAAAGTCCTGCTGAGCTTGTTGTCTGAACCTTCTGTCTCTCTTATTGTCTCTATCAAGAAGTATTGCTCTCCAATGCAGAAAAGCCATAAGGAAATCGTCCCTGCGATAGATAGTCCCGACAGATACGCCGTTCTGTCTGACGGTGCCAAGGTAAATCGCCGCAATCTTTAACTTGTTCAATCGCTCATCGACAAAGCTACATTGTGCGTGGGTAGACCCAGCTGCTGAAAAGTCCCACTGACCGGCTATCGACTCGACATCATTGTTGTAAGACCAGTCGGGAACGAATGAAGGTAACTTCATGGCACTGGTATAAACTGGGAAATGAATCGCATCGCATATGATATCCAAGCACTGAGTAGTCTTAAGAACATAGTCAACAACTTCCACATACACGTCTTTGACCGAGAGGTCATAATTAGCGCGGAAATCCTTGCGCACATCTTCAGGAAGAATGCCAAGGATGCCGAACAGTTTGTCTCTGGGGTCTAATGCAAGCTTCTCTCGATATTTGCGCAGCGCTTCGAGCAGGGCTCCTTTGCCTCTGTTGTCCGTCTTGAGGTCTAGGAGACTTGTAGGCCCATGATGATATAGCACCTGAGAGCTGCTGTATCCATTCCATGAAAGATTATTGCGCCTCTCCTCTTTGGTCAAGAAACGGTCTAAATTAGCTGCTGCCCCACGAAACGCGTCGGCAGCTAGCTCGTAATTGCTTCATGAGGCACTGGTAGGTCCACAATAGACCACGATGTTCCTTGCGTTGAATAGCTCCTGGACAATCCATAGTCGCTTCCAATAATCTCTCATATATAATGAGATGACAGCTAGCAGATCGCCATTGCCAATTCGAGATGTCAGCAGGGACGCAACGCTGTCCGAGCTGTCGGCCTCCTTAGACACTTCGCAAATCAAATCTAGAGCTCTTGTGCTATTGTCCTCTTCGGGACCAAGCCAAACAGCCACAGATTGAGCACTGGAGTAAATGTTGGTCATGAGCTGAACTTGTTGCGTCCGTTCTTCCTTGTTTTGTTGATTAATAGACAAAGCATCCGCCCACACAAACACAGATTCGCTCTTGAGGCGGAGAGCCTGTAGAGCACCATGAAGACTGATGGATAGTGGAATTATAAAACCTTGAAGATCAATATTTCGCGTTTCTCTAGCATCACCCCAGGCGTAAGAGATGGCTACGTATCGGGGTGGGTTCCTTAGAGACACGTGCCTCATTTCGCACTTTATCATAGTCTTTGTTTCTGGGAGAACTTTGATCAGTCTAATCTCTGACTCTCCCAAGGGTGCATAACGGAATGTCTGGTCTTTTATTGCCGGCAAAGGCGACTGATTGAAAGTAGTATTATTTACTGAGATGTACGAGGCTGCAAGAAGATGGTCCTCCTCATACTGGAGCGGCATCTTTGACATTCTATAATTGGGCTCTGACTCCGTGTTGCTTTCGGTCGAAGCTGTATCAGGTCTCATTGGGAAAATCGTGGGACGGTAAGAAGCCTTGAAGCTTGAACCTTGGATAGCTTGACGCCGCGGGAGATCCATGCGGCTCGAACCTACATAAAGTTCAGACGATTGAGTTGAATCTGAAGGCGCTCTTTTAGAATAAGGCGATTGCGATGTGTGGCGCGACGAAGTTTGTTGTTCCTCCTCCTCCCACGAATTGCTTGACGGTCTTGGGTTCATGCGAATCAGCACATCACGATCATTTTCGTGACCCTGATGGGCGTGATGGTTCGGGTGCGATCTCAGATGATCTTCGTCATAGTCGGGCTCAATTGATGCATGGCGCTGATAATCGTGTGAACTACCGCGACTGACATCGTGTGGGCGCTCAGTGAAATGAGGGCGGTTGAAATCTCCAGAGCCTCGCCGTTGCTGGTGCACCTGACGGGATTCCGGGTTTGTAGAACGCAAAGGGCTCTCACCCCAGCTATTCTCTGGATCGTTGTACTCCCATCCTTCGTTGAACCCTGGATGATATTCATTGCCACGTGGTAATGGACGGGACAACGATGGCAGCTGGCGAACTGAGTGGGCATCATGGTTGTCTCTGGGAGTGTCCCGTCGAAATTGTCGCTCAGCCATGCTGCTGATCCCCAGGTATCACTGGGTGGGCTGTTCCTTCTAGTATTTGGGAAGATTTATCACCCTACGTAATAGATTTTCTCATTTCCCTTTTCAATAACTAAGCGAGACGCTGTCAGACAGAAAGTTGCCAAGTTTGTTCTATGAGTTCAAATATTGTATTCGAAAGTGGGGGGTTATAGCACAGCCCGAAGGCTGCAGTTGAAACTTGTGACCAAAGTAGCTTCCATTGGATTCAAGCCGAGCCAATGGGATCGTGCATCTTGCACGACTCTGGAAATTGACTGTGTAGCAAAGGCGAGGTAGCTCCTATAGCCTGTCTAATGACAAATTGAAATATTTAGTATTGGTAGAATATGTAGAATCAAACATTTTTAAGAGTGAACTTTGATACTGACTTCAGTATGGCCTGGCGGTTTCACTCAATATCTATTGAGTTGGAGGAGCATGATCGTACCCCTATCAGCAGTCAAGTGGCTAATATGCTATTACTTACTTCATTTCATTCGCTTCACTTAGCTATTACTACCACAATACAAGAATAACTGCTCCTTTATTCTTAGTACGTTCTTATGCCCTGGGGCTTCTATTTGTGTGTGTGCTATGTGATATAATGAGAGGGTGTTGGACAACTGTAGATCCCGCTACCCTGTTTCATAAGCAATTCTACTCCAAATAATTGAACACAACTTAGTCCAGTTTCCAAATCACCTGCTAATTTCCCCGATTCTAAACTTCCATGTGCATCGGAAGCACTACATCCCGAGTATAATACAGCATCTTCAACTCTTAGGCTCCATTGGCTAGATGAAGTGTACTACTGCCTTGTCCACATTACCTATGACTGTGAACTCAAAACGATTCACATCCATAAATCATAACTATTTGAGCGTGTGAATCTAAGTATCGTATCGGAGGACAATAAACGATGACTATATCATATATCAAGTAACACTGTCTCTTTTAGAGCATCCAATAGATAGACAGGTGAGAAACAGCTACGCGTGGAGATACTATGCTCTCATTGCTCGTACAACCCGCGAGCTGATGTTTCAACATTGTCCGTATGATGCCGTTGTTGGGGGCACTTCTGATTGAGTTAATTTCCGTGAACACGGCAAATGACACCTATCTGGCGCCGATTGTATCTATATTGACACGCCACGAAGTTGCCATCGTTGATACGATGCCAGACCAATGCCTGATTGGGGATATTCCGAACAGGGGAATTACGAGCCATAATGCGATGTCATACCTGGTAGACAAGCACTAACTAGAGGCTGCAAGCTTTGCTCGCGAAGCACTTTATGTCAAAGGGCTAAGGAGATTATACAGAGTGCACAATGTGTTTTGTGAGGTTAATGAGTATCGAGAATGGTGGCGAAGCGGTGTGATAGTGAGCATGCTGTAGTTGCTATCGCTGTCGACCGAGATGTTGCATACAAATGTGTCCCTTGATAATCAATTGCAAGAATTCAATACTTTTATATACAAGATCATGACCTTAATCTCAATAACAATTCGATTGCATTTGTTGAAGTCTATGTGCTACAATGATATGCTCTTTCGCTATTACGCCAAACGACAAGGGCGGCGTTATGTGAGAGGAGTCTTCCCAAGCGTCTTCAACACTTGTTCTAGCCACCAGACATGAATGCGACTGTCATCGGTCAACTCAGGATGGAAGCTGGTGCCAATAATGTTGCCCTGTCTGACGGCGACAATATCGTTGACCTCTCCAGAGTCCTCTTCGAGACCATCTACCCCGCCCCCTTTTACTCGCTTCGTTCGACCCGGCAGCACCGCAAGCACCTCCACGTCAGTCTTATCAGTCTGCGCCGCAGCATCTTGACCATCGCCACTCGAATCATCTCCTCGCCGCTGCTCTGCATTGTGAGGTAGCAATTTCTCCACAATCGGTGCTCGAATGAAAACTCCCGGGAAGGATGCCGCGGCGCCCGTTTCGGCTAGAAACGGGAGATCCACATCAGCAACAAAGCTCTCAATCTGCCGGCCAAAATGGTTTCTATGAACTCTGACGTCGATGCCTCCGATCAGCTCCTGACCGCCTTTCTTGGTGGCATTTGCTTGCTCTGAGAGCAGAATGAGGCCGGCGCAGGTGCCCCAGGTGGGCTTGCGAGAGACTCTGTGGCATCATTAGTATCTCTTAGATTGACCATGTAGGGACCGTCCTGCTCATACTTGACGAAGTCTCGTAGCGGCTCTAATAAACCAGATTGCGCGGCAATGAGGGCTATGGTAGTGCTCTCGCCGCCCGGTATGATCAGAGCTTCACAGCGTGCGAGATCCTCGGGTGTCCTGACTTCGATGAAGCTGAACTCCTCATTCCACCTCCCAGAATCCGTGAGTTGAGCAGATGCTTTGTGAAGCAGCGACATGTGCTCCCAGAAACCCCCTTGGAGAGCCAGGACACCGACTGTGACAGTCATCCTCGAGTCGATTTGGCGCTTGCGGTCTAACGAAGTGGCTTCTTTTCACAAACCACTTGACAACCCAGTGTCCAGAGCAATACTTGTAAAGATCGCGTGACTCAGCTCATGAGATCGGACTAGATGACGCTTCTCAAAGAGCGGCAATGGTTGCTGATTGATTGGCCAAGAATCGCCGTCTTTTGATAACGGGCTTTGACCTCCGGGATTTCTCGAAGGACGGCGTCGGAGGGAAAATCCTTAGATCCCGACATCGGGCTACCCGTCCTGAGTCATCTTTGTCATCTTTTCTGGGTGTCATTGAGTTGCTCGATGCAACCGCACAAATGCGTGGCAAAAGAAGAGGACTGGAGTATGGCAAGACCCTGCGAGAGATATTGAAGCATTACTCGCGCTGCATTTCGCCTAGACGGCGTATTGCAGAGATCCTCGCTGCGATGCATGCATGGCGACCGATTCGGGCCAGCGAGAGAATTCCAGCGTTTCCCGCGGGCAATGGAGCGTCGAGAGCCGGCTTGGGCCGTCCACGGATGCTGGGGAGCCAGTAAGGAAGAGAATTGAGCCAAGTAGTACGCCCGCACTCGCGCGCATGTACGTACCGGTGACTGTGCTTATATAAAATGCCAGTCTGGACCCAGAAAAAAATTTATCGGCGGCATCGTGTCTGGCCAAAGTGCGGAGGAGTCATCGAACAGTTGCAAACTCGTCCTTCATCAGGTTGAAGAGTTGGGAAGATTCAAAAAGGGATTTTCCAGCCTTAAGAGGTTCTTAAATCGATTGAACCCCCCTTTTTTTACATAAATAGCAGCAATGGCCAGCACCAACGGCTCCAGCGGCCCCAGCGCGACGCTGAATCTTGCCGCCCCGGCAACTTCTTCGACCAATGGCGCCTCCAAATCCGCCTTCGCCGTCAAGGCCGGCCTGGCCCAGATGCTCAAGGGCGGAGTTATTATGGACGTCACAAATGCTGAGCAGGCCCGTATCGCCGAGGAGGCAGGCGCCTGTGCCGTTATGGCACTCGAGCGCGTGCCCGCTGATATTCGCAAGGACGGCGGCGTCGCCCGCATGAGCGATCCCGGCATGATCAAGGAGATCCAGGAAGCCGTCACCATTCCTGTTATGGCAAAGGCCCGCATTGGCCATTTTGTCGAGTGCCAGATTCTCGAGGCTCTCGGCGTTGATTACATCGACGAGTCTGAAGTTCTGACGCCTGCCGACGACGTTTACCACGTTGAGAAGTCTGGCTTCAGCGTCCCATTTGTGTGCGGCTGCCGTAACCTCGGCGAGGCCCTGCGCCGCATCGCAGAGGGTGCCGCCATGATCCGGACTAAGGGAGAGGCCGGCACGGGTGACGTCGTCGAGGCCGTCAAACACATGCGCACCGTCAATCGCGACATTGCGCGCGCGAGAGCTGTGCTGGCAGAGACCGGAGAGCTGGGAATCCGGCAATTGGCGAGGGAGTTCGAGGTAGACGCTGCCCTCCTGAAGCAGACCGCAGAGCTCGGTAGACTGCCCGTTGTGAACTTCGCAGCCGGAGGTGTGGCCACTCCAGCTGATGCCGCTCTGATGATGCAGCTTGGCTGCGACGGCGTGTTCGTAGGAAGCGGCATTTTCAAGTCGGGTGATCCTGCAAAGAGAGCCAAGGCTATTGTAAGAGCCACGACTCATTACAAGGACCCCAAGGTTCTGGCGGAGTGCAGCACCGGCCTGGGCGAAGCTATTGTCGGCATCAATATCAGCTCTATGCGACCTGATGAGAAGTTGGCAGGCCGCGGCTGGTAATCAGATGTCTAGTCCTGATTTAATGAAAAAGCCGGCATGAAAAGCGAGTCGTGAGGTGGAACAGGGTTCGTTCACTAATAAGCCAACTTCAACAGGCACGGCTTATTTCTCCGCCACCAAAAATGGATGTGGCACGCATTTTATAGGCAGCATCAATACAGACCTCAACCAACTCCTGGTTTTTTTCGGCTGGCGTATCCATTGATAGGATGTGAGCTTGAAGCTGCTGTAGTTGTGTGACATGATGATATGATGTAATATAAGTCACCAGACCTTCTGGAGTGTTAAGTCGTACATAAACTGTCAAGACGAACGCTCTGCAAGTATCACCAGAGTCCTATATGCGTGTCACGAACCTTGCACTACTGCGCCCACGTAGCACTCGCCTCAATATCCACGATAACGATGTATCATTACACAATGTCTCACAGGGTGCGCACAAAACAGGTCTATAATAAAAGTCTACTATCAAAGTAGGGAGCGCTCGCTAAAACTCCCGTCCTCTAGCTGGTCATCTATGTTGTCATGCATCATCACCACTTTCGGCAACCACAACCTATTCAGCAGCAGGTTCCGCCGCAATTGGAGCTTGGACTGCAGCAGCAGCAGCAGCCCCAACCTGGAGCAAGTTCGGCTCACCCGGCGTATTTTGGGGGAACCGGGCGTTGAAGCCGATAACATTACGTACACGCTCAAACGTCGCAGTTTGGATCTGCAGCTTTTGTGTCGCAACCATCCACATGACGTTCTCGCTGCATGGGGGAGTTGTTAAGCTGCCACTGTACGCTTGGAAGCTGCCCTGGGCCAATGTTGACACTAACTCGCTCATAACTAACGGAGCTGTCTTGACTGCTGTCCCAGGTGTGGCAATCTCCTCCACCTGGGTGAAGACAGTCTCAAGCAGGGACGACGAGACGCCGACGGCCTCGACAGATGGAATCGTGAGCATGCCAGCGACACCGCCGAAAGATCCTGGCACGGACTCTGCTGGAGCAGCTTCTTCTTGTCGACGAGCATGTGGGTGGAAAACATCACGGCGCTTCTTTTCGGGGGCAGCCTGGACCGCAGCACCCGCAGCGGCGGCGACGGCAGCGCCGTTATCAAGGTCGACAAATACACCGATGACGGCTATTTCCTGAGCAGCAGACTCCCAGACCATATGCATTTCCACTTCAATCATGTCAGTTATTTATGAAGGCAACAAAAAGGAGGGTGGGCACACATACTGGCAATGCTGGTTCCGTTGTCCAGGTGCTCACTAGGCAAGTGGAAGTGGAACTGCTGAAGAGTGAACTCCGTCTCGCCAACAACGAGCTTGCCTCCATTGGCGGCGATGACCTCGACAGTAGTACCCAGGTTCTCGAACTCAGTGCCCTCCGGCATGTCCGGTATTTCCAACGTGATGTCGGCGGCAGAGACAAGGTGGAAGACACCGTCGACCATGTCGATCGGCGATTGCCTAGTACCGGTGGCACAGAGACCGTTGGCACCGGCGTCGAGCGCCGCCCAATTCAAAGGACCCTACCGAGAAATGGTCAGCCTGATTGTTCTTTCTCGAGTTTGAGTGGATCAGGGGCAAGAGTATCGTACGATTGTTCCTGTATAGCCGAAGGTGTTCACCTTGACTGCCTCCCCTTCCTCAGCACGAGGAGCCAGGTATGTGCCATAAGCACATGATGCCACTGCCTGCGTCGCAGACGCGGCGATGACCAAGACACGTAGAAGACCAGAAGCCATTGTCGGACCAGCTAACAAGGACAAGAGAAGAAGCGAAGCGAAAGAGAAGAGAAAGAATACCAAGAGATACAAGAGAAATGACGAAAAACAAGGGTGAATCTACACCCTAGGAAACGAACGTAAACGCCGAAATGATGCCAGACCGTGGAATAACAAGAGGGAAATCGGATGCGAACGGCAGCATTAGGTTTATGTATCGGGATGGCCTGATAACACTTGCTTCTGCAGAGCCAAGCCGGTTGCTGCAACGGCTCCTCCAAATACCTGGTACCATACCCGTCCATCAGGAGGCTTCTTTTTCTGGCGCACGCTACGGGAAACTTCTCACATCGCGACCATGAGCCCGTTTCCAAGTTGCGCCTCGGCGCCCGCAGGCCTCTCGATGCGGCTTGCGTGGGCAGCAGCAATGGTAGCCAAGGCCAACGAGGCATGGGTATAGGATAGGCTCGTCCAGAACGGCAGAGCGCTGGCACAGAGCCAAGAGAGGCGCAAACGTCGGGTGTGATGACCCGCTGGGTCCGGGAAAATGAAGTCTGACGTGGGAGCGCAGTGCTCAGTGGTGTTCTTCAGCACGAGTGAGGATTAGCGATGTTGAGCCCCGTGTCCGCCAAGGTCCTGCCGCCCTGCAAATGGAACAGGACAGCTCTTGGCTGCTTGGCTAGGCAAAACCTCCTGAACGGCTCCATTCTTTCGTCTGAACTCGCCACGCAAATGAGAGGCAATAGTTGCTGTCGATCCCACTGTTCCTAGGCCAGCACCTGGACAGAGCGTTGACAACCCACGTGGTTCACTAATATCCAGCAGTGTCACTACATGTCGTAATCCCCGAGGCTGCCGAGACTTCGAAGCTTTAGGGCTGTTGTCGATAGAGTAGCCCAGGGGGAGAAGGCAAGCCAAGGAGGACGTCCTTTTCTCAACAGCTGAAGAGCCGGCCATAACAAGCAAGTAGCATGAGTGCACCCGGCCATTACGACAGCATGCATACAAATGCCGAGAAAGTAGAGAAGGCTCAACAGTCGCAAGTGTGAGAAGCAGCCAAGGGCGACCGACAGGCTTATAAGCGCCAAGAGCCGTCAGGGGACAGCCGGTTCTAGGCCTTCTACTGGGAAAGCTGCATCCCCACATTGGCACAAATGGTAAGCTCTGTCGCCAAGTAAAACGTCGCTAACAAGCCTACCAAGCTCCAACTTCCCCAAAGCAGCCAAGCTGGCCCTCAACTGCCAATGGCGGGCCATGCTCGGGAACTCTTCCTTGCATTAATCCAGCTTCCTTTAGGGGAACCCCTTTCTCCAGGTTTGAAACAAACAGCCGCGCAGTCGCCTGCAAAAAGGGACTCGTTTCCACCATGTTGGCCTGACACATTCGAGGAGAGCCTCACGGACCATCGTATGATTTTTTGACTCTGAAGATCTTGGCGGGGCATCCAGGGGTTCCCTGAAGATCCAATTCGGTGCTTTTCCTGCTGGACCTTCTTCTTCACATCTTCTGCTGGTCGAGTTCTCCTCGTTGACTCACATGCTAATATTTAAAATCGAGGCTTCTCTCCAAGTTCCGGATTAGGGCCTGTTCCTAAACACATCTGTTCCATCCACTGCTCCATAACGTCACCAGGCTGCTCTTGAGAAGACTGCCAAGTGAAGCGCAATTGTCGCAACGACACCGACCAATCACACTCTACGGAGAGCCAGACCTTGGCTAGATGAACCTTTTGAGTCGCCTGCATGCAACTAGGATACATCGGACATTTCGAATGTAGTTTCTTCTCTTCGATTCTTCATTGAAAACCTCACAGGATTCATTGTTACAGTTGCTGGTGCAAGTATGGCTTGTGCTTGTCAGTTAGAAATTACTCGTGATCTCGTTCGTTGAAGCTTTTGCCGCATCATGATTGCCGAATCGCTTTTGCGCAACAGGCTTACGACACGAATGTGCACTTGGCTGTTTTATATCGAACATACTTGACAAATACATCAATAATTCTCCTTATAGTACCGATTTTTCTTTGCTTGTAGCCCAAGAATCGTCTGTGACAGGCCAAGACTGCCTGGTGGGGGGAGTCATCAAATGCCGACTGTCACTTTGTTATGCCATTCCGTTCAAATAGTTGCACAGGACTCATCACTTTCTGATGAGAGACTTGGAGCGGTTGAGTCGAACTTTTTCCAGCCGTTTACTAGATCGCTCCTTGAGGTGGTGGAGAGTTCTACGGACGACTATGTGAGATCGTCTACTCCAATAGAATGGCTCCTTGGTCAAAATCAGACCAACTTTCGTAGCTGGAAGAGATTCCTTGAAGAAAATCAGTGATCACCGCGGATCTGTCGCAGATTCTTGCCGGCCAGCATACCTCTCACTTGCTAGATATGAGCAGGAGGCTGATCACAGGCGGCCGAGGAAAGCCCCGCCGGAAAACTTAGATGCTAAATATGTGCTTCTATCGAGACAAACCTGGTGTCTTGCCGTACTGTTGACACTGGGAGAAGCGTGCTGCCTTGCAGTATTACTAGTAGTAAGGCTCCTCGCTCCACCCAGTCTGCTCTGACATCATGCAGGTTATTGAAATAACGTCGCAGGTGGCTTATCTCCTGTGATGGGAAGTCCTACTCTCCAATAATGATGTTGCTCAAGGAGATAAGGGGCAGAGGTCGTGACGTCCGGTGCCAAGAGACGATGCAAATGCGAGGCACAACAGTCAGTAAATGTAGCTCCCAACGAGAAATCTTTAGCGACAGTTGGCTTGGTGGAGACAAGTGTAGTGAAAGTATTCCAGTGTTGCCGTTTTGGGAAGTCTGGAACAGCTCCTATTGGTTAGTAGCGCAAACCGAGCGATAACTAATAGCAGCGCACCTACCCAACATACAGCATCTAAAGCATTCCTTGAGTCACTCGACAGCCTACAAATTGATGTCCTTTCAAATGTAATCCATAATAAACCGTCAAAAATTACTTCTGTCATCATTTGATACCAGAGTGCAAGCTCGTAACCCAAAGGAAAATGGCATCGATGGACCCCAACGCCAGCGCGGCTGCAACCAAAACTGTGACGGCTAGCTGCTTCTGCAAATCTGTGCAATATTCTCTCACTCTACCGACCTCGGTATTACCTATCAGCGCCCACATGTGTCATTGCAGTCGCTGCCGATATACGCATGGGACGATGTGCATCTTTCATGTACCAATGCCCATCGGCGTGATGCCAGAGTTCATCGGTCCATCCTCACTCGAAAGTTCCGTTACCCGCTATTGGTTCGACGGCGCTGTCGGCGACCGCCGGTTCTGCAAGACCTGTGGCTGCCACATCGGCGATTATGTGGAGTCTTTAAACATGTGGTACATTGCTCCGGCATTGCTTAGCAAAGATGAGAGCGTGTTCGTACTCGACGAGCACATCTTCACGCTTTCGGCCCCCAAGGGCCTCCACGACTGGGTTCCGCAAATTGGAAGTCGACCCTTGAAGATAACCAATCCTACAGATGGCACCGCTGATCCAGAGATACCAGAGGTCTTGCGGGATTCCACCGGTGAGGAGAGGTTGCTTTGCAAGTGCCACTGTGGTGGCGTTTCCTTCACCATACAACGCCCCACGACCGAAATCCTCGCAGACCCAAAGCTGAAGCATTTTGTGTCAAATGGTCAGCAGCTGAAGTGGAATGCTTATCTCGATGGAAGTCACGAAACCCGTCTTTCGAATGGCGTACATATCGGTGCTTGGGTGTCCGTAACGTCTAGCGCCTGTGAGCCCATGATCGGACCTGACCTACAAATTGGCTCTGCCGTAAAATTTGCCTCTTCATCCGGAAAGATACGATCATTTTGCGGCGTGTGCGGGGCTACCCTATTTCGAGTACGATGTTTACCCGATGGCAGTGCAGATCGATTGATAATCGATATCTCCTTGGGCATTGTGAGGGCACCGGATGGTGTGCGGGCTGGGAAGTGGGTTGCATGGGGTGCCAATGAGTTTGAGGATATTGAGCAGGGGCTGCAATATGACAAAGAGCTGTTCACTAGTCTTTTCGATGGATTCAAGACCTGGGTGGTCTCAGTGGAAGGTGGCAAGGATGACTGAATGTGTATTACTTGTAAAAGCAGTACTCTTAAAGTTCACGAAATGTCTGTATCTCCGGGAGTTCAACGGATACAACCAGAGTAAAGTGGAGATTGTGAGAACGCAAACTAACTTGCCGACTTGTTCTCGGTATAAGACTTCTCCAATGTTTCCTTCTCTCTTCGAATATAGGCTACCATTAATCATAGTTGGCTCTGGTCAATAACCAAGCAAGCCTTGCCAATCGACGTAGATTGATGCGTCCAGTCAACCAACTGAAATATCTTGTCGAGACCGTAGAATGGCTTAGTATCAACATGGATGTTGTGGGTAGCGAAGAAGTCGAGCATCTCGCGAGACTCATCTCCGGATGCAATCAATGTGCTCCGGATTCTGATATCGCGAAAAACGAGCTCATCCGGGGGAATCTCAACGACCTCTGGCTCTGCTACTTGAATTACTGTCCCGTGCATTTTCGTGATAGCACATGCCAGCGCAGGAGACTCGCGCGCAAATGACATAGATATGGTACAGTCGGCTCCAAAGCCACCAGTCGCAGCTCGGGCAGCCCCCACAACAGAGGTCGGTCCGTCTCTTGCGTCAAGAATCAGATCAGTTCCACAGCTTTGCGCAAGTGAAATCGCCTCGTCTCTGTTGT